CTTAAATTACTACGTTGCCCAGGATGGCCTTAAACTTGTGGCCATTTTCTTGCCTCAGCCTCCAAAATGCTTGGATTGCAATCATGAGATGCCAGGTTCCATCTCTTCTTTAGCCTTAGTCTTTTTCTCTGCCAAACTGTGGTATGCCTAGACCAGCTGTTTCTTAGCAACACAAACCTTCGTCCAATTTGAAATCCCATCGTGATGTCTGATAAAGGCAAAACACCTCAGTGGTACAACACTTGCTTAGCGTGCATGAGACCAGAAGCCAGCACTGGGAAAACAGAAACAAATATACTGCTATAAAACACAAAAAAGGGATTGTGTTTAGGGAGTGAGTGTGTGTGTGTGTGTGTGTGTGTGTGTATGTATGTGTGTGTGTGTGTGTGTGTAGAGAGAGAGAGAGAGAGAGAGAGAGAGAGAGAGAGAGAGAGAGAGAGAGAGAGAGAGAGAGAGAGAGAGATTGGGAGAGAGCATCCTTCCTCATTTTCTCTATGGTGTCATCCTTGGTGTTATATGGGTTACAGTTTGAAGTCTATTCAAGCACACCCTGAAAGGGACTCTAGCTCTGATATGAGGAAAGGGAGACTCCTCTTTGACCTTTTGGGCCAGAAACTGGCCTCATATAGACAGACATAGGGCTACCACACGTTGGATCCCTCTGGGTCCCCCATAGGACTTAGTCCCTCTTCCTGTGACAGGGAGTAGGGGTTGTATGATTGCTCAAGCCTTGGGGCTCAAAGGGAATGTAAAGACGGAGTTTCAGCCCTTCACTGCCAGATTGGGAAGGGAGACACAAGAGGCTTCAAGGCTGGTAGAGAGAACTCTAAAACAGGGCCTACAAGGAGAAGGTACAGGTGACAAGGAAGGCCAGTGTCACCTTGTATTCTAAGAGGCGACAGCAGGAACCCAAAAGTCCCAGTAGGAATATGAATGGATCCTATTAGGCAAGTCCTGAGTTTTAGGTTTTGAGGAATTCCCACATCCTGCTTCTGCCCTTATTCTTGGCTATTGTCCCATAGAGGTACATTGAGGTTAATGACTGAGACAACCAGTGTCATGGGCTCATGGGCTCGTAGCCACTTAAACATGTGGATTTTGGCCAGGGGTGATGGTGCATATGTAATACCAATACTCAGTGGGATTAAAGATGTACAACACTCTCTAGGATTTTTAGGCCAGCCTGGTCTACATGGCAAGCTCTAGGCTAACCAGCACTACACTGTGAGACCCTATCTCAGGAAGAGACAGGGAGAGGGAAAGAGGCAGAAAGAGACAAAGACAGAGAAATAGAGACAGAGAGGTGACTTTGGGACTCAAAGATTGTCAGACATGCATCCTCAGACTATTGGGTCTGGGGAGTTAGCTCAGTGGAGTGTTTGCTATGCAAATGTGAGGACCTTGGTTTGATGCCCAGAATCCATGTAAAAATGTTGGGTGTAGTGGCACACACTTGTAGTCCCAGCACAGACGAGGTTGAGATAGGCAGGTACCCAGGGCTCTCTGGCCTCTAGCCACAGAAATCCTGTCTCAAACACTAAGGAAAGACCCTAGAAGGCTGTCCTCTGGTCCGCACAGGTATGCACACACACGTACCTACATCTGCACATACAAACACATGTACGCACACACACCAGTATGCACTAGTGCACACACATGCTTGTGCAGGTACACACAGATGCACAGGTGCACATATAATACACATGCATGTGCAGGCACACATACACACACACACAGAGTTCTCTGATTTTAGAAAACAAGTGCTTGAAAATCCCCAGCTATTTGAAATTAGAACTTTATCTGGTTGTAGTAGCTCATACTTCTCAGTTCAGCAGTTGGGAGGGTGAGGCTGAAGGATCACCATGAGTTTGAGATCAGCTTGGGCTACACAGTAAGTTTTAGGTTAGCCCAGATTGAGGTTCAAGTGTCTAAAAAATAAGACCCCAACCAATAAACAACAAAGACAAAACCAAGACTGTACATTTGGGATTCTAAAGTCAGAATTATTGAAGGAATAACACACAGATGTCTTAGAAATACTACCCAATGGAAGGCCATGGCATCCAGTGGCACTCAGAGTCTGGGCATGGCCAGGATCCTTGATGCAAGAGGCAAGAGCCTGCCAGGAAGGGAGGTAGGTGGCCAGGCCCCTTCCCAGTTCCTGTCTCAGCCCCAAGAGCAGGTTCTCTGAGGGACCTGTGAACACTGGAGAGTGCTGTGAATGTGGACACCACTACCCAAGGGGAAATGCATCCAGGAGTCTGTCAGAGAGCCCATAAAAGACATTTGCTCCAAAGACCCTGCTGAGCCCTCATCCCTGAGCTGTCATCCAGGCACCCATCTCCCTGCACCTGGCCTTCCTCCACTCCTCAGCACAGGGGTATGGGTGTCACAAGCCAGTGACACCGAGCCAGTTAGAAGGCATAGCCTCAGTCTGTAGATCTGACAATTATTGTCAAATCTGCTGACCACCCGTTAGACACAAGTTAGACCCTCTCATTATCAGACAAGCCTTGCCTTGGATTATGCACCACAATCTCTCAGATACTTTTAATGTCTGCATTTACCTTTAGGGTACTTAGGGAATCTCTGAGCCCTAAGTCTGGAGAAGATGCTTGAAGAGGTTTCCCAGACTGGCTTTGACTGCTTCCTTCTTACCCATCCCCCTCCCTGCAGGAGAGACACAGGCCTGAACTATCAGCTGCTCTCACCCAGCAGGACCCCTTCTCCTCCTTCAGGCTCTTCACTAGTGACCCTAAAGGGCCAGGCCAGTCAGTCTTACTGCAAACAGCCTGGCCAGCCCTGGCAGCCTCAAGGAGGTGGAGGCAGAGGATCGATTCCTCCCACATCAATATTTATTGCCCAAGGGCTGCTGGAAGCAGATCACCATGTTCTCAGCCTTCAATCTTTCCTTAAGACCTCTCAGCCCATTGCCTCCCAGGACCCCACGAGCTGACAGGGTGGATGCAGCCAGTCAGCCAGGCACACAATCAGGACCAGCATCACAAGGCTTCATGGCACAGAGCTCTCTCTCTAAGCCGACTCCAGGGACCGCAGCTGCCGGGACTGCACATTCTGAGAACCCACAGTAACTGGGTAGTGCTCCAGAAATCTGACCTCTGCACCTTAGACACACCACATACCACAGCAAGCATAGAGAAGTAACTTGCTGCAAAAGCACATGGCTGACCTGTGACCGAGTCCAGCAGACAGCCACCCACTCCTATTGTTCTCTGTCCAAATACAGGGCCCAGCCCAGAGTATCTGTCACCAGTCACACAGCCCCTTGTCCTCCTAAGCGACACTCCTAGCTCCAAGGACTCCACTCCAAGTTCTGGGAATCTGAATTCTTGGCCTGAGCTAGGCCAAGCTATCTAGAACTGAGGTTCCAAGCTATCATTTTCTGCTGAAATGCCCCCTCCCTATCATTTTCTGCTGAAATCCCCCCCCAGCTGCCTCTGAGCCAGCACAGGCACTGTTAGCCCAGACATTTACTATGTCCGGGAATCAGCAGTGCAGAGCAGCACTGCCTCTGGGCAAGTCCTGTCCCGGAGCAGAAGAGCCTATGTCCATCCTCTTCCCTGCCCCTTCGTGGCCATCATGGCGTCAGTAGCCTCTCTTTACAGGCTCTTCCTGGCCTTCAGTCCTTACACACACAGCACTGGTAAAGCAGCTGTAGAGTCCTTGCTTCCTGTCCCTCCAGGGATACCCAGGGGTCTTGAAGGAAGCAAAGGTTGTCTGGTTCTGGCCCCTGCCGACCGTCCTAACCAGGGCTGTCGTGGCCCTGGGGTGAGGTGGTTGACAAGTCTCAGCAGGGCAGACGGACCTGGGCTTAGATAGACTTGAACTCCCATTCTATAAATTGACCCTCAGTTTAAAAAGCGATGAAAAAGAAATGGTCTTTTCAGGCTCACTTCTTAGGTCGAACTTTCTTGTTCTGAGGAGACCCTCCCCCAACACGGCAGTAAACACTCTCAGAAGCAAAGCCCCAGGCTGCCACGGAAAATAGAATTCCTCTTGCTGCAGAATATTTAGCAAGATTTGGATGAATTGTTCTTTTACAATTAGAATGACTTAGTAGCACGCACCATACTTCATTTATACCTTTGAGATTTTAACATGCCCCTCACACACTTGGGAAAAGAGAAAGCACAATGCACAAAACTTCTGAGTATAGTCAAGTATGTATGCATCAAAATATTAATGAAATTGAAATTACGTTGTCAAAATAAGCTTTTAAAACTTGTTTCCGGGGCCAGACACACATAGCTTAGGGGCAGAGTCCCCACGTGCAAGGCCTGAGAGGTCAGACCCCAGTATTGGGGGGCTGTTTCTTTGAAATTTTTTTCATTTGGAATCAACTTATTGTCTTTTAGACCTCATATTTTTGTGAACTCCTGGAAAACTCGGAGTCCTTGGCTTAGAATCATCTATCCTGCCCTGTGGCTCACAGCTCCTAGCCTCTCTTTCAGTTGTGTGACCTTGGACAAGGCCTCTCACCAGCCAGAGTCCTCACTGTGTTCTTAGCCCTGTCACCGTGCCTGGAAGGGCCAGGTTCATGTCTGCTGTGGAACCCTATGTCGAGGCTGTTTGCACCCAGCACCCCTGGGCTCTCCTCCCTGCTCTTGCCCGTGTCATCCTCTGTCCAGGTCAAATCCCTCCTCTCTCAGGAACTCTTCCTAGACCCAAGCTCGACAACCTCCACTTCCCAGCATCTTCCAACATGGTCAGAATTTCTAAGTGACCAGCACTGAAGGACGTGAGCCCCAGTAAGCCTGTGCTCTCACTAGAGGACTCCATGGCTTGCTCACTGAACTTGCTCATTCATTCAACCTCTGGCCCCACATCTCCTGGGTCATGGAAGGGGCCCATGATGGTCACTGTGCAGGCCTGTTGGGAGGAGACAGTGGAGCTTGCTCAGGAAGCATGAAGCCTCTGTTAGGAAGAATTACAGTGGGTTCTGGAACCTGAACTAGGGCCAGTACGTGGAGGGCGCTTACCTTGCTGTCAGTGGTGGCTGAACCAGCCAAGGCCTTCCGCCTTAAGCGAAGCTCATGTTTCTCCTTGGGCATCTCCCTGGGGAAGAAGAAGTAGGGGCAGGCAGCCAGTACCACCAGTCCAGCAGAGATGAGGAAGCCCAGCCACCAGGCGCCCACCCATCGGGGGTCTTTTGGGGTCAAGTTGATACCTCCTGAAAGAGAAAACCGTGATGGTGTTAGTGTCACAGTTGGCTGTCATTTCTACCTCTGAGGACCTTCAATCACTAAGCCAATGGAGTACTGGGGGAAACCTCAGAATCTAGTGATAACTCACATCTCTATGCTTCAGCTTCTTCTACTGTGGCGTACAGGTATCAATAACATTAGGAGATGAGGTTTAGTACATCATAGGGTTGTTGGGAGAGTTACAAACACACACACACACACACACATAGAGCAAGAAAATTTAATTAAAATTTAAAATCTAAGTTGGGCACTTGGGAAGTAGAAGCAGTAGGATCAAATATTTCAAGGTCACCCTTGACTAAGCATTGAATTTGAAGTCAGCCTGTCTGAAAAAAATAAAAAACAAAAACAAACAGACAAAAAACAAACAAAATCCATGAAAGACAGACAGGAAAAGCACTTGAGGGATGTGTTTTATAGGCACATGCTCCTCCTCTCCTGCTTCTGTTTCTATTGCAATTTCCACTATTAGGTGAAGTATTATTACTGAATCAAGTGGGGGCGGGATTGCTATTGTTTTCCAACCAGCATGTTTAAAAGAACCAGAACTATTTAACAGAAGTATTTGGCGTCACTGAAGACCTGCTTCAAGTGACCACAGGGTTTGGGGGAAGGTAGCTTGTCCCCATGGTTTTGGTCCCTTACCTGTTTTAATTAGAACGTAATGTATAACTGCCTGTATAGTTTCTAAAGCGAAGGGCTGAAGTGGGGGCATTTTCCTTCAATCTCCCTGTGTTGGGTAGTTTTTTTCTCTGAGGGGAGGATTGTAAGACTTGGGGGACTGAGGAAGTTACACAAGATCCACAGAGCCCCTCTCCAAGGTCATGAAAGCAGTAAGCAATTTCTAGGCAGGAGGAGCGTCTTGGGTGGGACCATCTGCAAGTTGTGCAGGGAGCTTCAGGGATACAGATTCTGTGAGTTGTCCTCCCAGTGGTGGGCCTCCCAGTGATGCCCTGGAGTCCGTGCTCCTATAAGTAATGCCGATAAACTCACTGGCTTACCAAGCTCTCCTCAGAGGTGGTTGTTACTTTGGTCTGTCATCATCGCCCTATCTGGGGTGAAAAGACTTTTGCTCACTTCTCTCCTGGAAAAGTCACACAACACCCCAGCATCACAGGTACTTTATAAAAATACAAGTCCCTGGTAGCACCAACCAGCCGCTCACACAGACTGCTCTCCAGGTGCTGGATCCTGGCATCTCAGGGCAGAGGCGAGGGAGCACAGCCGGCAATTAGCAAATGGATCTCCAGAGCCGGGATGGGTGTGACTTCTTCACGGTGGTACTCAATGCCTTCTTTGTTTCTTGCCTGCCTGGCCCCATGCCAGACTAGAGAGAGCCTATAATTCTTCTTCATGCACATGCTAGTCTGTGCCTGCAGCAGGCAGGAGCCACCGGCCCTCCAACCCCCCACGAAGAGAGGAGGACCTGAGAGGTGGCTCAAAGGCAACATTCACCTTATGCCAAGACGGTATCAACAGTAGCAGGAAACACAGTTTCTCCCAGGTGGAGGTGGCTGGGAAACCTAGGTCACCCCAACTCCCAGAGTCTTTCCCTCGGGTTATCAAGGAACTAGTAACAGAGCTCTGGTCTGGTGTTGGGGCCCGAGATATGAGCAGAATTATCACTCCTGATGGTTACACAGAACTGCCCAGACTTGTTCCAACTGGGGGAACCGATGGGAACAAGTTATAGAATGGCCACCCAGTCTCACATGTGTTGCTGGTGGCTGTCCAAGTGAGAGACGGAATTTCCGAGCAATAGGAGGCAGAAGGCACACCTGGCACTCACATGCTGGTGTGACAAGCAGGCAGCTAGGAAGCCACGGTAACCTGCTCTGATAGAATTCCCCCGTCCTACCCACCCCTTCCCCTCACACACGAAAGAATCCAGGGCTCTGGGGCCCCTACACACCTCTTCCTGGCCACCCTCAGAACAAGCTTTAGCCAGACTCCTTGGCCCGTTATGACTTCTAGATGATTCTGAGATTACGGTTTCCCAAGTGATGCCTCTAGAAGTGTCTCAGACTCCCAGGTAGTCCCCTGACTGAAAGGGTCTTTGAAGTGTCCCAGGCTGTATCTCAACTGGCAGAGGCCTAAGGGAACACACGAGTCACTGAGCACTCCGTTGTCAGCATGCTATGGCCCTGGTCATAGGAAGCCTTTCCCCCGAAGGCGGTGTTCCCTACAAGCTAAGATGGCATGTTTTATCATCTGCCAACAGTGTGCCTGTGCCTGGGGGAGGGAGGATATGCAACAAAGCAGGGTGGTGACAGAGGGCGCAGCTCCACAGAAGACGGCTCCTCACAGCTTACCTCTGACACTACACTAGATTCTGGTGACAGTCTTGGGACACAGGAGGACAGAGAGTATCTAAAGAATGAGGAAACCGAGGCCCAGAGAGTGGAAAGAAAAGGCTTGTCCATAGTCAGTGTTGCTGCTGGGCTCCCATATGGGCTCCTGGTTTTATGCTTCCTGTAAGACCAGTGGTCAGTTACAGAGCATGTGTGCGCCCTTGAGGATGAATGTACACTCCACGGGCTCACCTTCTGGCATCCGGTCAATGTCCACATAAAGGCGTAGCATGAGGCTGCCCAGCCCATAGGCCATGCCAGGCCCAACTGTGGTTGCTGCAAACAGGATCCCTGCAAATGCAAAGCCTTGGTGAGGGTCCTGTGGTACTATTCGGCGTCAACATCTCTGACTATCATCAGTAGGTCCTCTCGTACCTAATTGGTCCCTGCCTATCCTTAGTGGGTTCCTACCTACACTCAGAGGGTCTCTAACCACCATCACTGGGTGTCTCTGCCTGCCCTGAGTGGGTCTCTGCCTACCTAGTCTTCCAACAGTAGTCCCGTCTCCTTGTCAGGATCAGGAGCTCTTGGGCTTCTCTAGAATTTTCGTGGCCCATCCTCATGTTTGGCCTCTCCTCCTCCTGCCTGAGCCTGGCCCCATTCTCAGAGCTTAAGGGAAGAGACCGCCCTTACCAAGGTAGAGGGGTGAGTTGCTATGGTGGGCAAAGTCATCAATGTAGGAGATCCCAAAGGGCTGAATGGGCACACCACCTATGCCCAGCAGGGTCTGCGCTGTGAACATGATCCCCACCATAGTTAGGTGCTTGGCTTCTGTGCTGCTGGAACAGCTGTCATTGGAGAGGGCAGAGGTTGGGGCCACAGTCGTGGGCAGGCATAGCGAAACATCCAAGTCCTGTGACCTGTCTTTTGAGAGAAGACAGTGAGACTATGACCATAACTAAGATGAACCATATTCACCAAATGTAAGACATTGCCCTGAGTGTTTGGGCGCAAGTCACTCAATCCTCCGAAAACCTAGGGTTCACAGACTATAAACATGTCAACCAGCTGGCCTCCTCAGTTTGTCTTCACAGTTATTGTTCTTAACTTGCCACAGGTCACCTTTCTGAGCAGGGGCATTCAGAAGTGTGGCTCTTGGGTGGAGGGACAGGAGCGACCAAAAAAGGTAGGGTTTGAACTGGGTGGAGAATGACAAACAAGAGTTTTCCAGAAAGAGGGAGAGGGAGGGATATTCCTGGGAGAGTTCACGGTAGGGCAAAACCAGGGCCTCAGAAGGGCACAGTGTTGGAAAGAGGTGTTCTGAACAGCAAGTCACAGAGGAAGGGTCAGGCCAGGGCTACAGGCAGGGCTAGGCAAGTGCAGGAAGCCACCAGACCATGGAGGGCTCTGATGTGCTGGGCACTCATTTAGGGGAGGGAGCTGTGTTAGTTCAGGGCATGGAAACAGAGTGCAGGAAAGGACATTTTCTTAATTTAGTACCAGACATTTATTCCTTGACCAATATTTGGTGAGCAAACTTGAGGAGACCCTCGTTTTATTATTATCCCCAATGCGCTGAAGTGGCCTTCTCAGTGTGGCCTTCCTTTTGTGACAGGAGGCACAAGGGTGTCAAGCTAACCTGGAGAGCCACACCCAGTACTGGGAAAAACATGCAACCAAAGTCATCAGTTGTAGTGGCATCTTGTTCTGCCAGTGGACTTGTGGTCTAGTGAGTGGTGACTACAATCAGTGTCTATCCCATCGCCATTAGTGGTGGTCCCACTGTGTGACTGACCCTTGCCTCTCTGGTCCTCACATCTCAAGTGAGTCTCCCAGAAGTGATGTTTGGTTCTAGCTGTGGGCCTGGGCCTTTGGGGCCCTGAGACAATCATAGTAACCTCTGTCCCCTGGGGGCATTGATGGGGTGGTGAGTGGCACCCCCGTCTAGTTCTCTGGACATTATGTAAAAAGTCACATTTGCCTTAGCATCTCTGAGTCTCCAGGATCTTGCACATAGCCTGGCCTGTCACACAGCTGCATGACTACCACAGAAGGGATAAACTGGGCAAAGAGCTGTGCATATCAGAGCAGGGAGAGGGTTTGGAGCTTAGAGTCATGGCAGTCTTTGAGCTGATCTTATAAAAACAGACGAGTGAGCTCAGAGCTGGAAGAGAGGACGAAGCGTGACCTTGCACAGAAAAATCTCTGCTAAAGTGGAAGTTCTGGAGAAACACGAGGAAGTCTTACTTTTCAGCATCCCTAGATGCCCTGTTGACAACTATGCTCTCTGCTCTAGATAGCCACTCAGCATTTTTGAAAAATATGAGATGAGAACTCACAAGGTAGCCTGAGCAGCCTAGAACTCACTATGTGCCCCAGGGTGACCTCAAACTGTGGCAATCCACCTGCCTCTGCCATCTGAGTGCTAGGATGATAGGTGTGAGCCACCAAGGTTGGCTCTCTGCTTTCTTCATGTTTTCTGCACTTTTTCAGTTTTGGGGGCTCTGTTCCTGCTGCACCCCCCTCCGATGCTGCTTCCTCCAGCCTTTGGTAGTTCCCTCCAGCTACTAGTGTTCTTCCCCTACCCAGGGCTCCAATGGCTTTCTCTTCCTGTCTCGTAAGCAGTCAGGTGCTATGTAGAATTGCCATACTCACTCCATCCCGTAATTTCCAGCACATGTATGCTTCATGGTCCCACCTCTGGGTCTTAGCACTTTAGAGGTGAAACTGGCATGTTGGTTTTTCTGTCAGTTTGTCTCCTCTCCTAGGCTGAGCGCCTTCTGGAGAGAAGGCTGAATGCCCTGAGGGATTCGTACAGAGGACAGCATTACAGATTTGTTACATGAACCATTAGATGAATGAATTAGCGGATGGATGGATGGATGGATGGACAGATGGATGCATGGGTAAGTGGATGAATGGATGGAAAGAAGGATGGATGGACAGATGGATGGACAGATGGAAGAGGAAAGTGAATACTCAAGCTGGTTGCTCTAAGGGACATTATTTTTTTTTCAGCTAGGCTCTCAACAAAATCCTTCTATCATTTAATTAATTAATTAATTTTACTATATTTGTACACTTATTCAAGCATTGTGGTAGTTTGAATGTAATTGGCTCCTATAAGCTCATAGGGAGTGGCACTTTTAGGAGGTATGGCTTTGTTGGAGTAGGTACGGCCTTGTTGGAGAAAGTGTGTCACTGTGACTCAGACCACTTCCTGTTGCCTATGTGTCAAGATCTACTAACTCTCAGCTCCTCCAGCACCATGTCCTCTTGCATGCCACCATGTCCCTCCATAATGGTAATGGACTAAACCTCTGAAGATTTAAGCCACCCAATAAATGTTTTCCTTTACAAGAGTTGCTGTGGTCATGGTGTCTCTTCACAGCAATCGAAACCCTAACTAAGGCAAATATTGATTTTGTTTTCTTCTTTTTGAGACAGGATCTCAGCCAGAGGATTGTGGCATATGCCTTTAATCTCAGCACTCTCAAGGCAGAGGTAGACAGATCTCTGTGAGTTTGTGGCTAGCCTGTTACACAGAGTGAGTTCCAGGACAGCCAGGGTTACACACAGTGAAACCCTGTCTAGAAAAACAAAAAACCAAATCAAAACAAAACAAAACAAAAAACCCAAACAAACAAACAAACAAAAACCCAGCCAAGCAAATATCTCAGGGTGGCTTGGCTCAATATGTAGCCAAGAATGGCCTAGAACTCCCAATCTTCCTGTGTCTACCTCCCAAGGGTTAGGGTGTTCCACCAAGCCCAGGTCCTCTGTCTTGGATACTGGTGAAAACCAAATGGACAAAGATGAAGGAAATATTTCAAACTATGTGTGGCATCCAGAAAGCACATTATGATATTGTCATTTTATTCTGCAGACTTGTCCTAAGGAGTTTCCGCTTGCAGGCTGTATTATAAGTTCACTCCCATCTCAAAACCCCACCGAGACACTTGAGCAGGTCCTGGCCCAGAGGAGACTAGAAGATTTCACCTTTGCCCTGTGTCTATCCTTCCTAACATGGGTCAGGATCAGAAAGACTGGGAATGAAGTAGAGAGGACTGTCAGGTACACTGGTGTGACACCATCCTGGATGCAGGCCTGGGGAAGGGCCCGACTCTCAGGACTGAAGTTCCCCGGTCATCGCTTGCCCAGTCTCTTACCAGGGCTGTTGTGGTCATAGCGGTATGGTTCGGAGATGAAGTGTGGGAGTGTCATGAGCAGGCCTGCCAGGGCCACCAGGATAGCCCCGTAGCCAATCATACGGGGTCTGTGAACTCGGCTGCCAAAATAGCTCACCAACAAGATCAAGGACACATTCCCTACCTGCAAAGAGATGAAATGACAAACATGGTGAAGCCCGTCCTTCCTCTGGCTACCGTTGCTGTTCCCATCTGTACGTTAGACTGGCCAGTTTGAGTAAGAACACCTGGCTATGTGTGGAATAGACAATCTGAGCCAGGCGTGATGACTCATGCCTGCCACCCCCAGTACTTCAGAGAGTAAATGAGGCAAGAGGATAGCTGGGAATTCAAGGCTAGCCTGGGCTACATAGTGAGACCCTATCTCAACAAGCAACAAAAACACGTAGATTTTGAGTCTCCCTAGGAAAGGAAAGGTCTCATTGCTTCTTCAGAGGAGGAAAATGAGGACAAAGCTGGCTGGCCAAGTTTGCTCTGGAGGCAGGTGAGCAGAAGAGGGAAGGGATTCGGAGCTCTGGGGCCTCAAGAATGAGAGGCCCAAATAAAGACTGAAAGCAGGAGGCTGAGGCTTGGAATTTCACGTCTTAGACTCATCATCCCAGGGAGCTAGGAGTAGGGTGGGTGAGCTCCATGGTCCTCAAAGGGAGTGAGCTGCACCAACAGGGGTTGTTGGGTCTAATTGTGAGGTAGAGGAATAGTTTCCATTTACCAAATGGACTCACTTTCCCTTCCCACATGTGAGATCTGAGAGTAGTATCATGCTGAGACCCATCTGGAGATGGGAAGCTGTTCAGCTAGTGGGCCGGGTCTTGGCTCTAGAGGAATGTGACTTATTGTCCAGGGAAGAGACTTTCACAGAAATCTGATGGGGCTGGAGAGAGCAGACTTTTCTCCCCAGAGAGTGACAACATTAGTGAGGGAGGGATGGCTGAGATCCAGCAGAACTGATTTCCACCGAATCCACACGGAGAAGCTCTGCCTTTCCCTGCCTGGCTGAGGGCCACAGGCAAGGGCCTGTGGATACAGGACATCCTGGGGCCAGACCTCCCCTGCAGTGTCACCCCTCCCTCCTGTCACCCTGAAGTCAGTCAGAGGGTGTTTTGGAGGTAACTCAAGCCTCTCTCTGGGACAGTAGAAGTGATTTTCTGTGTTTCCTTCCTTGGACAGTCAATAGCTGTAGGAGTCAAGACACAAAGGAGCCACAAGGAGGGTGGATGTCTACCCAATTCTGGCAAGCTAGACAATATCTCATGTCCCCTAGCAAAGAGCTCCTACGGGCATGATGGCTGGGTCCCTTTTCCTACTAGGACGATCCAGGGCAGTAGAGGCTTTTCTAGGCTTCAACCCTGGGCCAGCATGCTGTGAGAGGAGAGCTATGGAAGTTTGGGGGAGCAGCCAATGTTGGGGGATTATGGGGACATGGGGAGGAAATGTTTATGAGCGTAAGGAAAGAGGATGGTGGAGATAGGAGTATAGGGCTCCCTCGGCATGCATTCCTGAGGGGGAGCTAGGGACAACAGTACCTCATTGAAGGCAGCTAGCAGTCCCGATGTCTGACTGGACAGTCCGAAGCGCTTTTCCACTGTGGAGATGGAGCTCTTGAGGTAGCCAGAGATCATGAGCTGAGCCAGCTGCAGTATACTGTGGCACAGGACAAAGAACTGTGGAGACGCAGTGTCGGTGGCACAGGGACGGACACCATCAGGAGTCAGGGAGATAGAGACAGAGTTTGGACCAGAGGGAGAGTAAGGCCAAAGATGAGCATGGAATAGAAGTTGGGTAAACAAAGTCAGGGGAGGCAGATATATGAGAGGAGAAAAAAGAGGGAGAGATGAGAGAGGGAGGGAGAGAGAAAGAGAGTCAATTGGAGATATCAATGGAGTCTTGTGGAGGTTGAGCTTAGGGTCGTGGGTGCTACCAGAGACACACTTGACTAAAAATAGGAACACCAGAGCCCTTCCGACCCTCCGATCTCCCCAGGCTTTGGGCTGGACCTTCCTCCGTGCTCTACAACAACACCACTTTCTCCAGAAGGTTCTCCTAGATCTCCTAGCTCCATCTCCACCCCACTCTCACCCTGCCCACAAATCTCTGCTGTAGAAACACTCCCTCTTTTGACTTCCCCAAGCTGTCCCACCCCACCTCACCCCAAACAACCCAGTCTTCCCAGAAAAAGCTGGCAAATTTCCTAGAGGAAGAAAAACTTGCTTCAAAGAATCAAAATCTGAGAACATTTAGGCCAGAACTTCAGGCATTTGCTCAATACTTTGGAGCCTTGGACTCTTCATTAGGCCTAGGGAAGCCCCTGCTTCCTAGGATTACTTAGGGAACTCAGATCTTGAGGGCTGGGATGGGGCTCAGTGGTAGAACACTCTTCTAGCAAGTGAAAGGTCTATACTTCCATTGGTGTTATGAAAACAATGACAGAAAGATGGGGTGTGTAGTACCACACACAGGATCTGACACCTACTGGGTGAGTCTTTAGGGCCCTTTCTATGGAGCCAGTACTCCAGTATTCACACAAGTTTAGGACTGCAGAGCATGTCCCCATTTCTCCAAGGGAATGAGAGGCAACAGGAGTCATCCCTCATCATCCACAGACTAACACGTATCAGCCTCTGTAAGGAGAACCTGTCCACCTTCCTTGTGCCCAGAACCAAACAAAGAGCTTCCCTGACTACCCAGGAACCCACCCTCCAGGCAAGGAAGTGGGAAGGAAGATGCTTGGTGTTAACTGCTGGGCTTGGTGGGCCCTTCCCTGCCTTGCCCAATAGTGAGTACCTTGATGTTGTGGAACAGTCCTTGGGGCCGTGCATCCTGATTTGAGTCCTGAGACTCTATGCTGACTTTGCTTTCATGCATGTCTTCTGTGCTCATTGTGGTCTTGGTGTCTCTGTCTGTCATCTGGGGTCCCTCACCTGTGGACCCAATGGGACATTCAACGAGATGATGAGATAAAATCCCAGATAATAGCCCTTCACCCAGGTAGACTTCAGGAGCAAACTGTTTCTGGGAAAACATGACCTTGGTGGTTGTGAGGGTCTGAGAGTCGATCTCATCTGAGATCTCTGAGAGGGACTTTCCTGAGAGCCATGGGTCCCATGTGATCTTGCTGGAGACCTTCACTCCATTCGGACACACACCTCCTAAAGGGAAGCAATCCACTTTCCCCACAGCAAGCTATGGAGCAACCACCCTCACATTAAGTATGAACTGTGTAGTCTTTCAGTAGGCTTTTAGGCTAGGGGTAGGGTCAAGGTTGGGTTCAGAACCAAGGGATAAAGGCTTTCCCTTTATAAGACAGAGACCCCTTCCTGTCATAGGACACCATCATGTATGTAGCCAAGCCTGCAAATCATACATCAAAGCACACAGCTACTCAGTATGTATGCCACAGAACCTTCTGGACAAACAGACCGGGACACCCCTGATCTCATTGCTGTGATGGCTGTCTCACAGTAACTATGGAAACATGTCTGTTACTCTCTCCTGCTCCTGGTTCTCAATGGAAATACCACAAGTCCAGCCTGCAGGACAGTATCCTTTCAGCTGGCCTTCAACCCACCCATTTCCTGTGGATAGCCTCCTCCATTGTCCCATGTCCCCCTCACCACAGGCTACATATTCTTCACATTTCACATGGTCTGCTGGAGGACACCTCTCCCACCATGGGGTTCTTGTCCATCCCCAGAAGAAACTCATAAAAGCCCTTGAGACCCCGAACCTCCATAGGCCAAGGTTGTGTGACCCTCACACAAGGTACCTTGGAGCTGGAAGACTATGTTTTAAAGTGTACATGTAGTCATGTGAGCGTACGTCCATAAAGGTCAGAAGCATTGGACTTGGTGGAGCTGGAGTGACAAACATTTGTGAGCCACCTGATGTGATAGGAATGGAACTCAAGTCTTCTACAAGAACAGTATACTTCCTTAACTACTGAGCAATGCCTTCCAGCCCTGAGAACTATTATTCCAGATCATAGTTAATTGTAATTGTCAACTTAATGGGACTTACAATCCAGAGAGATTTAGCTGAGGAAGATCCACTTAGAGTGAGGTGGCTCATCCTGTGGGCTGTGGTTTCTGACTGAATACAACAAAGCTAGCGAAGCACCAGCGTGCCAGCATTTACCTCTCTGTTTCCTGACTGTAGATACAATGTAACCTGACATTCTGTGCTCCTGCAGCCGTGCCTTCTCCATAGTGATACATTGTACCCTCACACCATGAGTCCAAACAAACCTTCTTTAAGTAGTTCTACCGTCTGGTGTTTGTGACTCCAACCAGCAAGATGACTGATAAGATATAGAATTCTCTATAAACCCTTCACGCTCACAATTCATGGGTTTTAGTACATTTACAAAATTGTACAGCAATCACCAACATCCAGTCCCCAAGCTCTTCCTTCCTGCATCAGGAAGCTTGCAGCAGTCACTTCCCATTCCTTCTTAGCAGAGGTCTGGAAACCCTAATCTTCCCGGCTCTGTGGGGTTCCTATTCTGGACATTTCACACAGATGAAATAACCTAATGTGTGGTTGGTCACCTGGAGCTAGTTTTTAAACCACATAATATCTTCAAGGGTGCTCAACATTGTAGCATCTGTCAGTGCTTGCTTTCTATAGCACTCTGAACCGTTAGATTGCTTTTTGTTCGGGTACTCATCAACTGATAAACATTTGGGTAATTTGGGATATTGTGAGCAGTCATCACAGCATTTTATGTGACATGTATTTTCCGTCCTCTTGGGCATATGCCTGGGAGAAGTGGAATTGCTGGGTCCCGTGACAGTTCTGTTTGACTTTTGAGGAACCATTAAACTGTTTGCTGCAGCTCTTCCAGACCTGTTGTCTGGTTGGCCTGGACTCAGGGCGTGCTGACACTGCTGCGGGGGTGATTTGGCTAGTTTTGAGTGGGCTCAAACGAAGAAAGGCACTCCCCTCGTCAGAGAATGTTCAAGAAAGGCACTCCCCTCGTCAGACACTGTTCAAGAGGCATGGAGTGATGCTCTATTTTACAAGCCCGCCAGCAACATTCCAGTCCCGCTACACCTTTTCTGATATATAGAAGTCTGTCTTTGCAGTGATGGCCACACAAGCAGGTGTGGTGTGACGTGTATGGTTTGATTGGGATGACAGGCATCTTTTTATGTTCACATTTGTCGTTTTTATAACTCTCTGGAGAAATGCCTAGACAGTAACTGGAAGAATTTGAGGAAATGGAAGTGCGTATGTCTGGGAGGAGTTCCTTTTGGGGCACAAACATCCAGAGGAAACAAAGGAGAGCAGCACCTGGCAGGGGGGAGTTGGGGTGTACCACTGGGAAAGAGGAGGAGACTGCAGAGGTCACCTAAAGAAGAGGGGGTGAGGGCCTTTAAAGCAACCGTCCCCAGAGACACCAGGGAGACTATTTCTCAACCTGAGCTCCTGTCACCTGTTGCCATCTGTCTTCTCATGCATCCAGAGTACATAAACACTCTCCGGAGCTCTGTGTCCTATGTCCTTTGTGTCTCCAAGCTTCTGAGGACTCCCAGCAGCTCAGTCCAGATGTTGAACTCAACAGCCCTCCTCGATAGCTCTTTGAGCATGTCTGAACAGGGGGAGAAAGTACAGTGCCCTCCAACCTAGCCAGGTCACCTTGGCAGCAGTGCCAGAATGCTCCAAAGCCTGGTCAACCAGACAGCAGGGCTGGAGCTGAGGCTGGGGGGTCTGAAGTCACTGACAAGATGTTCTGCCTCAGAAAGAAATGCAAGGGATGGATGAGGGGAGGGAAGGAAAGCCAGTGGGCCACCTCAGAACACACATTTCCCAGCCCAAGACCAGACCCTGGATTCTCAGACTGGGCTCCTGAGACACTGGGGACAGTCTTCCCTCTGGGCAGTCACATCCCTCTCCTCTGCACTATCATCCTCTCATTCCTGCAGCGTTGTTCGCCTGCCTTAGGTAAGCTCCTACTTACAGCCTCAGTCCAGACCTTCCCGAGGCTTCCACCTCAGCCTCCCCGCCAAAGCTCAAAGTCTCCCTGGCTTATTCTGTTCGTTAGTGAAGTGACAGTTTCTGGTGCACGAAGTCCGTAGATCTCCTCTCTGGGTTGAGAAGGAAGCCCAGCAAATGCTTTCGGCTTTGAGAGACGTCATCTCCCGCGACATCTGTCAGCCTGAACCTCTGCTTTCTAAGAGCTGGCCCATTCCAGCCTCAGGTGCAAGGCTTCATGAACAGGAGCTGTCGCTCAAGTCTAGCTGCAGCCACAGGACAAGGGCCAATGCTTCAGAAACCAGCCTACCCCTCCCCTCCCTGCTCATTCTTTCCTGGCAAGACTCAGTCCCAATCCATAGTACCTCCCAGGGTCAGGGTGCAAAAGCAAACCCTAGGAAATTTGGAGCTGGTATAGGCTTCCTCAAGCTTGAGTTGGACTTGCAACTGCCTGAAAACCTCCAAGGTGATCCTGAATATGTATCTTGATCTTTCTGAGTCCCAGATTTCCTCAGCTTACAGCTATGAATGACAGCATCTACAGACAGGATTCAAGGCACATAGCTCCCAAATCTGGCAGGTTGGCAATGGAGAAAACAGCAGGAGTCAGATGTGCCTTACCCCCACCCCACCCCCCGCAGCAGGTCAGTGGCCTCGGCAAGTTGCTAGCTGACCTTCTCCCCTCCTTTCCGTTTCGAACCATTTCAAAACAGGCTTGGCTACGTCCCCTTCAGTTTAGCACCATCAGGTCATACCCCATTTTTCCAACTGTGTGTCTCCACGATCAGATATTTCATCAGACCTAACATAAACACACACACTTCATGTCTCCTACTGAGGCTTCCATATCTTATGAACTTTAGACTAAATAATTATGTGTGCTTCTTATCATGCTAATCTGCCGTTGGAGTGTCTCAGGCATGAAACTAGGATCAGTGAAAGAAAGAAAAGTCTCTACTGCCTCAGGCCCACGAGGCAAGCCTCTATCAAGACTGGCCTTCTGACTGACACCCACCAAGAGTCATTTTCCACTAATTCCAGATAAATCTTCCAAAATTTCCGAGACAACACACCTCAACTGGAGCCGCCTCCGGCTTCCGAGCTCTCGCCTTTGTTCTGGCAGAGCCACTGCCCACCTCCAAATAGCCTCTCCTCCCTTTCATCCAGGCTCCAGTCAACTGCAACACCCAAGAACTGCACCCCTCTCTCCAGTGACCCTAAAGGCAATGACCTAGGTTTGGACAAGGTTCAGCCTTGTAGCCTTAGATTCAGGTCACTTTGACTTCTCATGTGCAAGGCAGGGACAACAGCCCACCCCCCTCCAGTGCAGAAGGCGTCCCTGAGAGTCCAACTTGCCTATTTGCACATGGGACCTCACACTAGAGCCTGTGGACTCTGCCTGTCCCTGTTAACATGGCACTGCTCCCCTACAGTCTTCATAAGCAGTGTTTTTCTCTTCCTAGTTTGTCCAGTTAAAGCAGATGGCTAAACTGTTCAGTATTAACCGTTTGTTAATCTGGTCCATTCTTCAAGGGGAGCCATCAACAAAACACTGGCCTTCGGGTTCCTCCCTCTATCTTGTCCCCACCCCGCCCCTCCTTTCTCCTTCCCTCCCTCTCTTCCTTCCTTCCCTCTATTTTCTCTCTTCTCCTCCATTCTCTCCCCTCCCTTCCCCTCCCTTCCCCTCCCCTGCCCTCCCCTTCCCTTCCCTTCCCTATTCTTTCCTATCAACATGATCTCACTGTGTAGCTGAAGATGACCTCAGATTCGCAAGCCTCCTGCCTCAGTCTCCCTGTGCTGGGATTACCTGCACGCAGGGTCACATCTAGCTTCAGAGCCTTTGATCCTCCTGCCCCTACAGCTTCCACCAATCCTGAACTGCTACACTGTGGTTCTTATCTCAGCCCTTTCAGGGCTCAGGGCGCCTTCCCCCACTGAACTGAAAGTT